TGGTTGTTAGCTGCCATGTGGGTGCTGGGAACCAAACCTGGGTCCTCTGCAAGAGCAATATGTACTTTTAACTGCTGAGCCATCTCTTCCGCACCTTTTTTTTTTTTTTAAGGCCCATCAAGTCTAATCTGTGTTCCCTAAATGCTCTTGGGTATGGGTCTATGCCTTGGAGTCTGGTCAACCTACCAGCTGACACACAATAAGGAAAACTGATTCTCCCTTTCCCAGCATCTATAAATGCCAAACAGATCCTCAGCAAGGGCTGGGACTTCCTGCCCACCTCCCCATTCTGCTGGGTCCCCTGTCTGGCTTTGATTTGCACAGGTCTTGTGCATGATGTCTTAAGTGCTCTGGGTTCATATGTGTAACGACCCTGTGGTGACAAGACAACATAGTGATCCCTGAGCCTTGGAAAATGTTATTTTCATTTTGTGTGAGTGGTTTTCCTGTATATATGTAAGTGTACCATGTGTATACCTGGTGCCTGTGGAGGCCAGAGAGGACATCAGATCCCCTGGAATTGGAGTTAAGGACAGGTGGGTGTTGGGAACTCCGGGGTCCTCTGGAAGAGCAGTAAGTACACTTAACTGCTGAGCCATCTCTCTAGCCCCTTAGTACAACTACAATTTTTTAAAATCTTTTTGAGATGAGGTCTCCCTGTAGCCCCAGCCGCCCTTGAACTCACTATGCAGACCATGCTGACCTAGATCTCATAGAAATCTGCCTGTATCTGCCTCTGCCTCTGCCTCTGCCTCTGCCTCTGCCTCCTGACTGCTAGGATCAGAGGCGTGTGCCACCACACCCAGCTCCCTTAGTAAACTCTTAAAGTGCTTTATAGTACCTTAATAGTCAAGTAGTTCTAGTTCCAGAAGCATAAAGGAAAGTTGGCCTATTGTCTCCTTCATTGTTAGTGTAGGAGTTGTTGATGTCAGACCAACTTTTTATATCAAAAACCTCAATAACTCAGTACTGTAACTCTACAAATTGCCCAACCATGGTTATTTTATGTTTATCAGTGGTTAATAAAACTGCAAGTGTAGTTTCTTCCGTGAAGCTGCTTTTCATCTCTCATCCCTACCTGTAGTCTAGGGCCTGACGTATAGTAGGTGCCTAATATAGTTTGAAAAAATTGTTTACTTTTAAAAGCTTGGGAAAACAAATAGATGATTGCAAATACAAATTATAAAAACGTGTGTGTTATATGAAGCTTTGTAGTGAACAGAAAAAACAGTTTTAGCAAAGGAATCTTAAAATAATCTCCTAATCATCTTAGTGAGCTTTGATATTTTGTTTTCTATTTATGCTTTTTCTTTTGGTTAAATTCCTTTACTTGTGTCCCTAGGTTAAAACATCAGAATTTTATAGATACTCTCGACAGCTGCGCTATGAAGTTGACCAAGCATTGAATTACTTTCAGAATGTTCATCAGCAGCCCTTGTTGGACATGAAATCAAGCCGTATTCGTTCTGCCAAACCCCAAACTACAGTATTCCGAGGGATGATTGGACATAGCATGGTTAATAGTAAAATACTTCTGTTGAAGAAACCAAGAGTCTGGTGGGAGTTGGAGGGCCCCCAAGTACCTCTACGGCCAGACTGCCTTGCTATTGTCAATAATTTTGTGTTCCTCTTAGGCGGAGAAGAACTGGGTCCAGATGGCGAGTTTCATGCTTCTTCCAAAGTGTTCAGGTATGACCCAAGGCAAAATTCTTGGCTGCGGATGGCAGATATGTCTGTACCCCGTTCAGAATTTGCTGTTGGCGTGATTGGGAAGTTCATTTATGCAGTAGCAGGCAGAACAAGAGATGAGACTTTCTACTCAACGGAGAGATACGACATCACCAATGATAAATGGGAATTCGTGGATCCTTATCCAGTTAACAAATATGGACATGAGGGGACAGTGCTCAGTAACAAGTTGTTTATAACTGGTGGCATCACCTCATCTTCTACATCTAAACAAGTGTGTGTGTTTGACCCCAGTAAAGAAGGGACCATAGAACAGCGGACCAGGAGAACACAAGTAGTCACCAACTGCTGGGAGAATAAGAGCAAGATGAATTACGCCAGATGCTTTCACAAGATGATCTCTTACAACGGAAAGCTTTATGTCTTTGGTGGTGTCTGTGTAATCTTGAGGGCCTCATTTGAATCTCAGGGCTGCCCGTCCACAGAGGTGTATAACCCAGAGATTGATCAGTGGACCATCTTGGCATCTATGCCAATTGGTAGAAGTGGCCATGGCGTGACTGTGCTGGACAAACAAATAATGGTTCTTGGAGGCCTTTGTTATAATGGTCATTACAGTGATTCCATTCTCACTTTTGATCCAGATGAAAATAAGTGGAAGGAAGATGAATATCCTCGGATGCCCTGCAAGCTGGATGGTTTACAAGTGTGCAACCTACATTTTCCGGACTATGTACTGGATGAGGTTAGGCGTTGCAACTAATGATATCTTTCTCCCTTAAAGGCAAATAAAGCATTTGTTTATGATAAAGTAGTTAAAAAGCATAAGAAAAACCTCACCAGTTTTACTATCAAAGCCATTGGTCTAATATTGTAAGAATTTTTCATTCTGTGCTAGCATCTTTTTCCTTTCAGAGGCCTCAAACTCATGCAATAAGTTCATTCTAAGCACTAGCTCTTGAAACTACTTCCAAAAGCAGTTTAATATATACTGTTCCATTTACCTGGGAAGCTGATTTTCTGCTTTAGATATTTCTTTCAGATCTCAGTGTAGGATTCATGCATCTTGTAAGAGAAGACCCAATAAATGTCACTGGATATGATTTCGGTCCCCCTCTATTTGAACCTTTTTGAACATTAATTTCAGTCTGTTACATGTTTTGGTTTTATTTAAAAGTTTAAAACTCTGGACCTTTTTTGCATGGCTTTTTGCTGAAAATGCAAAAATTTAAATTTTCTACAAAGTTTTTATATTCAGAACACTATTTCTAAGCTGCCTTCTCTTATCCGCATTGTGTTAGTGAAAGCATATCCACACTCGCATACATCCTATAACTATATAAGGCACACATCCCTTTTATGCGTGATTAGGATTTTATATTTTTAAGCTAGTATGCTAGCATACACAGTTTGCCACACTTGTTGAAATTTAGATGTAACATCTTTTCATGTATTGATGTTTTTGGAAAGTTAAAATAACTGGAGTCCTCATTTGGTATCAAAGTAACCTATCTTCAGTCCATACTGATTTCAGTAATATTTGAACTCTTTATATTCCTGAAATATGTGTGGATTTATGAAAACTTAATTCTTTACATTTTGTTTTCAAAAGTAAATGTTAGTGTTCCTTATCAATGTCTTTTCTTTTTTGAAAATGTTTCTCTTTGCAGTCTGTTTAATGTTGCCCTGTTTTAGTGAGAATCGGAGTGGTATATGGCAAGTTCTAACCCTGCAGCGTGCAAGCACTTTTAAAGAGAACTTAGGTAATACCAGACTCCTAAATAAAAGCCCCTTAAAAGTAAGTCCAACTCCTGTTCTTTATATTCAATAAGGCTGCCACATCTGTTGAATAGAAGGTAACAACTCTTAGAAAATTTGAGCTCAGTTCTGACTTAGGGGTAAGAAATGGAATTATGTTACTGCTAGTTTGTCTAGTTGGTTATTTTGTACAAAATATTCAGTGACATTAGGGAGAGAAGTCAGCCCTTGGCATTTGTCGTATTTGCTGGAAGTCCATGACATGAAGGATTATATCCACAAAGTTTGGTTTGAATCAAAAATAACTGTTTTAAAAGCATTTACAGTACATGTTTTAGAATTAGTTGCGCCTTTCAACTCTAAATGCAATGGAAGAAAATGTAGTTGACAAAATTAAGCAAGAGTGACCTGGGAGTGGATCATTTAGGTTGATGCCATTTTCTCATGAGCAGTCTATAACTGACAGATTTTATACTGGCAGAACTTGCCAGATCTTTGGATATTGGTGCAATATTGCAATGCCTTTTATATGGCTGCTGTTGTATTAATTTTTCTAGTTACTTTTTTTTTTTTTTTTGCTGCTGGCACCATTGAACATAAAATGGAAGTGTGAAACCTTTCTTTTTTTCCTTTTTCAGTTCAATTAGCTATAGTGTGAAACAACGCCTGATTTTAAAACTCCAAAACCGAAGAGTTTGAGTTTTAAGAAAGTGTCAGGTACACAAATAGCTTTTTTTTCCTTTCAGAAATCAATAGCAGTGGCTTCTCTTTAAATTTTTTTTTGGTCTTTTTTGAGACAGGGTTTCCCTGTAGCTCCAGCTGGCCTGGCACTCTCTATGTAGACCATTAAAACATTTTTTTTGTTTTTTTTTTGAGACAGGGTTTCCCTGTAGCCCCAGCTGGCCTGGCACTCGCTGTGTAGACCAGGTTGGCCTCAATCTCACAGAGATCAATCTGCCTCTGCCTCCCAAGTGCAGGGACTAAAGGCATGCGTCACCACATCTGGCAGTGGCTTCTTTTTTATATAATGCTTACATTTCCACTGGGTGGTCTTTTGTTTACTTCCAACTTGGTATTTGAGTTCCCCATAGAATGTGGGTAAAAGTCACAGATTCCTTAGAGTAGCTTTACTAGTCTTGTGTGTGTGTGTGTGTGTGTATGTGTGTGTGTGTGAGAGAGAGAGAGAGAGACAGACAGACAGAAAGACAGGAGAGATCTGCCTGCCTCTGCCTCCCAAGTGCTGGGATTAAAGGCTTGAGCCACCACACCCGGCTTTTTTTGTATTTTTAAAATAATTTTAATTGTCTTGCTTTTGGAAACTAGCAATTAGGCTATCCATTTAATTTTTTCTAATATATTCAGGATTTTGTATGTGTTGCTTTAAAGGAAATAATGCCTTCATTATTTTCCTCGGTGATGTCCTTTGCTGGGAATGACCAAAAACAAAGGCATTAGGGCAGGGTACCTGTATCAGTGACTTTACATGTCAGCGGTAGTTCTCTTTTAATTGCTTACATACCCTGTGTAGGGTAACATCCAAGCAAACAATTGAATATTCTTGGTCTTCCATTTTGAAGACACAAGGGCAAGGTCAAATATCAAATTTCAGAAAACTCATGACATCTTGAACTAATTGTGGGTTCAGCTTCACATAAGTCATGTCTGACTGTAATGGTAGCTGTAATCAGTTTTGAGCTTTAAGAAATAGTTGCTGTTGCTTGGGTTCTGAGTGTATGAAGAAACCTGTTTGTATGTAGATCTAATTTAGGTTATAAATCTATGAATAATGTACATTCCCTTTCAAACTTAGGGTTTAATTGCTGCAAGAGATTTATTTTTGTTATACTAAAACTATGGAAAAGTTTTTCATAGAATTTTTTTAAGTTTTTGTGTGCTTCATTTGGAACCATTTTTGTTTCTATGTATTGTATATGGTCAGGATTGTCGTTCTGAAAAAAATACAGTGAGATTTGAAACTATATGGTGTAACTGTTGTGATCTTTATGTGCTATGTTCCACTTTGCATTTTAAGTGCCAGACTTCACAAAAAATAGCTGATCTTTAATTTCATTTTAATTGGCACCATTTGTTCTCTTACGTGTCTTTGACCTTCTAAGTTTTGATGGTAAAGAAACTCCTTGCACTACAGCCTTTTCATAAAATACAAGATTCTCACATTGAAGGTTTTGTATTAGAAGAAATGCTACTGGTTTCTAAAAGGCAAAGCATATTAGAATGATTAGCTTTTCTTGAGATAGCTTTTTCTGTGTCCTCATTGCTCTGCCCTGTATGAGTGTTACTCTAATTGTGAAATACTGACTGAGCCCTTTACTTATCTTTTCTAAAGCAGCACCTTTGGACACCTCATTCTGGGAAGCCTGCTTGAGTCACAGTAAAGGACACACACTTGTGTGGGGAGAAGTGGTAAAATGGAGAGTTTTGTCTTAACTACATGAAACTTAGCTTTAAATATTTTATAACAAATTATTTGAGCTGCATAATCTAAACATGTCAAACGTTCTGTGGGACTATTTTTATATATGTATATGTGGGTGTAGGTCATAACATTTCAGTTTATAATATAAATTGTTATTTCAGTTTATAAGCTATCTCTCAAAAGAGACTAGCTCTTTTGAGAATACATAATTTAAAGTTTTAGAATTGAAGTAAAACAGCATAGATAATAGTGTAAATTAGCTATAATTGAGGGCTATATGGCAGTGAGACTGCTAGTGCCAGTTTTCTTGTTTGCCTACTATACATTTTTTGAGTTTTTTCTATTCTGAACATTTTTAGAGATCATACATTTGTTCAGTTGCATTTAGAGTCGGTTTGGGAATAAATATCTTCTAAAAAGAGATTTATCTTAAAAATTAAAGTCCTGAAAAATTAGTTTATTGAGAGTTTATAAAGTCAAATATTCAATAGGCATAGACTGGATAGATAATTCATGGAAACCGTATCTTGTCAGTGTACCAGTATAACATCAGTACAATATTACACACATAATGCTGAGAACGCCATCAGCTTTGTTCCCGATAAAATTCTCAGATTTTCTTTTTACATCTTTGGGAACAACTGCATTAAAATTTTACTAATCAGTATATCAGTAAGGATTAGGTGTTTTCTTTCTGAAGGAATGTTCCTAAGAGGTAATCAGAAAGGTTTTTTTCTACCTAACTTGTATGTGCCCTATACCTCTTGGGCATACTTTGTCTATAGAAACATATTTTGACCTTTAGGTACATTTTGGGCCAGTAGTCAAATAATCCTAGGGCCGATATAAAAATCTTAGACTAATTTAAGGTTTGCCTTTTTATACCTGTTTTGAAAGCCTTTACATTTTTTGTCAGGTAATTTTTCCCAAGCCGTGGATATAATCTATTCACACATGTTTATGCTGTCCATTCTGTTTTTAAATTGAAAAAAATGTTAAAAGTGTTTATGAAGAAAACTTTAAAATAAAATATTTTTAATCTTTACAAAAGTCTTTGTCTCTGATTACTTAGTCTTCACGTAGTCCTTTATATTCAGTCAGTGGTGACTTGATAAATAGTATACATTTTGTTTTCCTTCAACATGCCCAAGGATGTGCTAGGAAGTGTAATTTCTACCTACCTTTTCAGCTGTAGATTCATATGAGAGCATTAGAAAGAAATTACTTATACTCTTCTGCACAGTTGAAATTGTATAATGACGCCAAGTAATTAAAGCTCCACTAACGAATTTTGCCATTTTACGGAATAGAAATAATAGATCAAGAAAAATCCTTTGCAGTTCTGAACTTCAGTTGGTGATTTTTAGATTTCATTTGGCATGTTTGTCTCCTTGTTCTTAAAGGTATTTCTGAACTTTTTGAGACAGGGTCTCCCTGTAGCCCCAGCTGTCCTGGAACTCACTATGTAGACCAGGCTGGCCTTGAACTCACAGAGATCCACTTGCCTCTGCCTCCCGAGTGCTGGGATTAAAGGCGTGTGCCACCATGCCTGGCCTTTTTTTTTGTCTTTTTGAGACAGGGTCTTCCTGTAGCCATCCAGCTAGCCTGGAACTCATTATGTAGACCAGGCTGGTCTTGAGCTCACAGAGATTTGCTTGCCTCTGCCCCACAAGTGCTGGGGTTAAAGGCGTGCGCCACCACACCCAGCCCATTTCTACTTTATGTTGCCATCTTTCAAATTTTTTGCCTTTTTTCCCCTTCCCTGCCTATCAAAATCTACTGATTTCATGAAGCCCAACTCAAATGCTCCTGTCTCTTGAAACCCGTATATCCTCCCACTGAATTAGTTACCTCCTCTACACTCCACACATTTGTACCTCTGATTTTAATTTCGCATAATAGCTGAGGATAAAATTCTTTGTCTGTGGCTAGTCTCCTCAGGTGAAAGCTCCTTCTCATCCTCTTGAATGGAAGGACCATGTGGCTAACCTGATCCTACATTCTCAGTGGCCCCTGAACTCAAGTGTTCATTGCAGCATAATAACTGATAGCCATGGAAATTACAGGCAAATGCTGTAGAGAGTCAGATGAGGGAGAGGATTTTTAAATTAAAAATTATGTGTATTTTATGTGTATAAAGGTTTTGCCTCATGCATGCAAGTGTACCAAGTGCATGCAGTGGCCATGGAGGCCAAAAGAGAGTGTTGCATCCTCTGAGCTGGAGTTGTAGGTGGTTGTTAGCTGCCATATGGGAGCTGGGAACTCAGGTCCTCTGGAAGAGCAGCCAATATTCTTAACCACTGAGCCATCTTTCCAGTAGCTGCTCCCAGGGTTTTATCTCTTTCTTCTTCATCCACACAATCACAGTCACACTATAGCACCCCCCTCTGACACAACTTTAATTCTGACATATGTCAAATCTGCATTTTTCAAGTCAGAGTTCCAGCCACCCCTAAACATCCTTCAGGTGTTTCATTGGAGTACCAAACTGAACAAATGGAACCTTAAATATATTATCTCCTTCACTCAAACCTGGCTCACTGTTTTCCCTGTATGGCTCTACCGTTATCTGTGATAGCTTAAAACAGAAATCTGGGATTGCTTCTCCCTCTTACCTATTCTTTGTCATCCATCCACATTTTTTGAGACAGGGTCTCACTATGTAGCCTAGGATAGCCTTCAATGCTGGCTGATCCTACCTCAACCTTCCCAGTAGTGGGCATACAGGCCTGTTACCACCACACTGGATTCTACCCACTTTCAACTCTCCGCTGACTCAAGCCATACTTGCCTAGTTCAAGCCCCCATCATTCTTGCTAGACTCCTGAAGTTAGACTCCTCATCTGCCTCCATAATTTACTTTCTGCACTGCTGCCAAAGAGCATTATTATCAAAAGCTACATCTGATCCTGAGATTGAACAATCTTCAATAATTCCCCTTCGCTTTGAAAATAAGAGCTTACATCTAACTGTGCCACACAAGGCCTTTTGTCTTCCCCACCCTCCATCTCTGTTGGGGATGGAACCTGGCACCTGCTAGGCAACAGCTCTCCCACTTAGCTGCACCTCCAATCCCCCATTCAGTGCCTTATACCCTGCTCTGTAGCTATGCAAACCTTGTGAGCATCTAAATAGGTCATGTTTTCTCAAGCCTCACTGCTGTTGGACCCACTCTTCCCCCTCATCCTTTCTTGATTCACCCTTGGTTTTCATAAACCCAGCTGGGCAATGAGCACTTTCTCAAACCTTTTACACTTCTCTTAGTCTTACTGTAGCACCTTGTGGACACCCACACCCCACCTTCTCTGATACTCGATAACTACCTTGTCCATTGCACCCTTAACTGTAAGCTAATGGAAGGTACTGTGTCTTTTATCTTCTAAGAA